AGGTTCCGCTCTAAACTACACATATCTTAGAACAGACAAAAGTTCCGCTCTAAACTAAACATAAATTTGAACAGTCAAGGGTTCCGCTCTAAATAACACATATCTTTGAGCAGAATAGGGTTCAACTGTAAACTACACAAGTCTTTGAACAGTTAAGGGTTCCGCTGTAAACTACACATATCTTTAAACAAACAAGGGTTCCGCTCTAAACTACACATATATTTGAACAGTCAAGTGTTCCGCTCTAAACTACACTTATCCTTGAACAGACAAGGGTTCCGCTGTAAACTACACATATCTTTGAACAAACAAGGGTTCCGCTCTAAACTACACATATATTTGAACAGACAAAGGTTCCGCTGTAAACTACACATATCTATAAACAGACAATGGTTTCGCTCTTAGCTACAAATATCTTTGAACAGACAATAGTTTCGTTATGAACTACACATGTTTTTGAACAGACAAGTGTTCCGCTCTAAACTACACATAGCTTTGAACAGACAATATTTTTGCTCTAAACTACACATATCTTTTAACAGACAAGAGTTTCGCTCTAAACTACACATATCTTTGAACAATCAAGGGTTCCGCTCTAAGCTACACATATCTTTGAACAGACAAAGGTTTCGCTCTAAACTACACATATCCTTGAGCAGACATAGGTTTCTCTCGAAACTACACATATCTTTAAACAGACAAGAGTTCCGCTGTAAACTACACATATCTTTGAACAGACAAAAGTTCCGCTCTCGACTACACATATCTTTGAACAGATAAAGGTTCCGCTCTAAACTAAACATATTTTAAATCAGACAAGAGTTTAGCTCTAAACTACACAAATCTTTGAACAGACAATGGTTCCGCTCTAAACTACACATATCTTTGGACAGACAAGGGTTCTGTTGAAAATTACACTCATCTTTTGAACAACCTGGGGTTCAGCTCTAAACTTCATATATCTTTGAAAAGACAAAGTTCAGCTCTTAATAACAAATATCTTTGAGAAAGTATGTTTATATCGAGAACGTAACGCTTAGATTTTAAATACGTTAAAATTAATTCTTTTGGGACAATTTTTGTATTAAACATTTATTCTAATACTTGTAGGAGGCGTTATATTGGAGTACACTTGTATATGGTCGCAAAAGGAGAAAGATACAACCGCTATACACCATATGGCTGCTTCAGATTTATTTTAAAATATTCGAGCGAACGTCATGAATTATTTTTTTTCAATATTACGCATGAGAAGGATTACGAATTAAAAAGAAATAACATGTACCTGGGTCGTGTTGTTAGTTTGTCTCCTAAACTGTGCACACGCCTCCTGTAATCCTTGGACCACACAGTCTCCACCCCCGGGCAAAACATGGCACCTGATGTCATTTATTGCCTCTCTAAGGTCAGCACACGCATGTTGTAGCCTCACGAAGTTATTCTTCACATAGGACAGCGGAAGTAACATCTGCAATGGTTAAACATTAAACCTATTATTTCGTTTTGCCTTTTATTAATTACAGTAATCTTGTAATTAAAATGTTTTAATCTCATCATGACAAAAAGTCATGCAAACCTGTATACGTTATTACATATATGTATTGTCTGTAAAATATTTGAGATAACAATGTAACTCGAAACACCCTTGTTAAAATTTTAATATAAACCATTCTAAATTATCATTTTTGCCAATTTACGTATTTTTTCATTGGTTCACTAGGGCAATAAATCAAAGTATGCGCATGCAGGGAAATGTAAGTGGAAAGGATAAGAAAGTCTGTCATGTCTACTTAAGTGTCCATACGGAAATACGAACTAAATAATACAATGACTTAAAATTGTATTCATATTAAAAGTAACTTAAATTGCAAGTTCCGAGATTAAACATGACAGACCGTCGTTTGAGTATAATACAAATACCCAAAATATTGAAGAAATACTGCTACTACGAGTATTTATAATTGATGTTTTCCCGATATGGCCCCAAGATTGAAAACGATGCATGTAAATTGATGAGATCATAAAGGAGCAGAGCAAGCTTCCAATGAATCCAATGGGTCCACTATCAATCTTGCTCTGTCGCCGAATACATTAAACCACACTGTTTTTAGAACAAGTCTTTGAAGTTAGAAAGACGTTTGGCTCATGTAATCTTGAAAATTGATCCAGGTGATTCGTTTGAACAAATTTGATATATTTTCATCTTATCAAGATACAACCAAATAGCATACATCTAAGCTGCATGATCCTTTAGGGGGAACAAACGCTTTGTCTCATAACACTTTTAGCCGCTGTGGTCTAGGTATCTTATTAAAACATATCTGACGTATCTTTTCACTTCAGTGACCTACATGCTTAATATCACTCTGTAGCATGGTTCTTTTTATTGTTTCGTTATAAGTTTTAACACAATAGACTTCTGTATTAAAAAATTAAATGTAAAGGTTTTGTTTTTATTTGAAGAAGCCTTATAACACTTATCTTAAGAAGCCATATGCTAAATATCATTAATCTAGATAGTATCTGTAGCAGAAATGAATCTAAGACTTCAACACATTTGATCTGATTACCATGAAAGTCATTAATTGTCAGTTATATTGTGTTTGACAAGCTACATGTATGATGTACCCGTGTGAACTTTTGGTCTTGTCGTTCGGAAGAAGAAGTCGAAAATTTCACCTATCACAAAAGCTATCAGATCAAGCTGTCATATTACGTACATGTAGGAGGAACCGATTAGTTGATTAAGAAAAATAATTACGCATGATATTTTAGAAAACAATGCTTTTGTTTGGGAAGTAAATTAAAAAAAAAAAATGAAACAAAAGATAAGAATGATTCTGTATTAAAACAACAAAGGGTTCTTTATGGGAATCCAGACAAGAAACGATTCTATGCATATCAAAAATTAAAATAATATATATGAAACAAAATATTCTATATGGGAGTAAAGATTACAATTAAAATGTATATATATATGAAAATTAAGATGACAATGAATCCGTGTTGAAATAAAGTAAACAAAATATTCCCTGAGGAAAAATTAAATACAATCAATTGCAATGAAATGAATAAAATAAATACCATTTTTGTATAATATTTAGCCGATTTATATGGTATCAATCATGATAAATTAAATCACGTCGATCGAACCAACAGTTGAATTTAACAATTCAAATTGACTTCCTTCTTTTAATTCGTTTTTGATACCGACTATGGTTAATTGAGAAAGATTTACCTTGATTTAAAATGTTGCAAAGAATGGGACTGAATCACAATGCAAAATTACTGAGTCATATAAATTGTACATCACCCTTACACAATACATTTAACCTCCTTTAATGTGAAATGGCCGTTTACGTCTTACAAATGTATACTTCTTCGTGATATCCCGTATTGAGAAGATATAATTAAACTTATAAAATTACAGTTACCGTTTTAATTCTAATTATTTTGTCATCTCATTTCTTGAGGTCATAATTGGAATATACATCTAATTTTAACAAGCCTTCCATTATATATAACCATCTCCGAGTCGTCACGTAAAAAATGAAAACGATTCAAATAAAATTGCACTTGAGAAAAAAAAATCCATTTACGAATGTGTAGTAAAAATATTCGCAAAACTTCAACAATAGTAATATTCACAAGGTAAATGATTTTTAAATTTGTTTATAAAGTAGTCACGTATATATATATTGTATACAACCTGAATAACACTGTATTGATTTTTCCGGGAACAAGTCATCAATTTGGCTAAAAATTAAAAAAATAAACCAATAGATTTTGTTCACACCATCGGAAATCTGGGAATTAGATTTACAGGAATAGTTGTTTTACTTCATTCCTGAAAAAAAGTGATGAAGTGAATGTGCTTCAAACATCGTAGGCCTGGTTATTTTAATCATCAACATAAATGTCCTTTAATGTGCCTGAATATATTTGAATTTCCGATTCCCTGTCTTCAAATCTTGAAAAGTTGACCCAGAGTATTTGTATCGAGAAATGTTTAGATATTACTCGTACAAGTAAAGTTTGGTGATTATTTTTGTATCGTGCACCCATGAAAATATTAAAAAAAAGTTTACCATTCATTATTTCTTATAAATTTGACACTAATTGATATCCATAATTCAAATGAGAGGTTCTTTGCCGATGGTTCCAAACTTAGCTCAGTATTATATAACTAGTATTTTCAAGACAATATTTGCCCTCCATGATATGAATGGCATGGAATGATATTCAAATTGATACAAGTAATGTGATTGTGTGGCATAACAAATAAAGTTAATGATTGGAAATTATCTTATAAAATATGTTTCTCTATAAAGTGTTCTTTGTTTTGTAAAGGGAATAGATTTAAGTTGATTTGTTAACCCCCCTCTCTCCCACCCAACCACCCAACACCACCTTAGCCTGTACGAACTGACCTCTGGGTAGGAAGTGAGTACCAGCATACTGAACAGAGGCATCCTGGACGGTCCTGCTATGTTACAGGCCACTGACAGAACATTCTCTAGACTGTTACACAGGTCGGTCACTACCTGCTGATGATCTGGTAAAGGGGGCGAGGCGTCGAGCAGAAAGGTCCGTGCTGCATTTAAATGAAGACGATTCATATATATTAAAAATATAGTTTCCATTAAGGCGAGCATGTTTTTAAATAGTTTTACTTCTACATTATTGAAAAATAGGAAATAGAGATATATTCAAAGCGACTGATTCCATTTTTTTCCGATCCCATACCACAGATACCAAAAGTGGAATGTAATTGTTTGTTGCATACATGTAGTATTTGGTCAATAATTCAATTATTAAAATTTTGTTTATTTATTAAACAGACTGTAAGTATGACTATGGGGCCTGCATGAATAACCAATGTATCTGAATGACACTAAACGTGTTTCACTATTTGATTACGTTTTGTTTTTTTATATATATATATATNCTTAGCAGAACCTATTTTGAAAAAGATTCTTCAGACAACAATGTAAAACACATTATATTATAACGTTGATCTTGTTTATAGTTGTTCTGTAATAATAATTCTATGAGCTGTACAGACTTTATTGTAGAGTTTATTTACGTGCATTTGATTACAGATAGAAATAATCTCATTTAATAACATGTTATGTTACATTTTGATTCGGTAGTCTTCGATTTTATTTTGAACCAACCTGGTTGCTTTCCGAGTAGAGTCCTACAGTTGGTTTGTCTGTCTGACAATTTCGCTTGATTCATCCTGAAAAAAGAAAGTAGCTTGATAGCCTAGTACGAATGATATGCCTACATGAAAATATAATGATATCATTGTAATATTATGACCGAAAAAAATGTGCTTCAATGAAATAGATACTAAAACGTCAAATACAGCAAGTAAATTATCAACAAAATATGTAGGCCTAACGTTGACTGATGTGATGTTACGGATCTAGTAAATGCCCTTGGAAATTCCAAATTGGGAACAGTTTTTTTTAAAGAAACATTTCAGCTCGGGAGAGAAATAAAGTTCCAGAAGCCAGATACTCCACTATTACTAGCTATAGCCGTCTTTTGAAACGAATGCCGAATGCATGGATGAGGGGACATAACTCGTACACTCAGAGACACAACATTGTTCTGAGATCAAAGTAACGGAATTTAGGTCAGTAACTTAGCTAGCACTAAGCAGATATATGCCCATAACGAAAGATATTTAATGGTTCCTTAGTTAATCATTAACCAAGCTTCTTACCTTCTACTTCTCCTTCTCTACACTAGCTTAAGTGTACAAAGCAGACGACGTCTTCCAATCACCGGATATTTGGATGTTTCATGTAAATTTGAAAGCAACCATATCCGGAATATAGTTGCAAGTTGTTAACAAAATATTTACGGCTTTTATTGAAATGATATGTTTTCTATTTTGATGACAATAATTTTGTGAACACTGTCATTAGACTTTAAATCATAAACTAATTGTTCATGCTACCTTTCTGGAACTGTTGTCGTGTTGTTTGGGTCCTATCTGAGCCCGAACGTGTGCCTTGGATTGGTAATATTTCGTAGTGAGCATAGTCAGCATTTGTTTTATTTTGAATAATGTATATGCCGATAGAAGTTACATTATTTGTAACATAGAAGAACTTGATCGGGTATAAATGTGAAATCGATTCGACTGCATGTACGCAATGAGCCCAAGCTAAGCATGAACCTTAACAAATCATCCATATTCTTTCTCTGGTGGAATTTATAAAAGAAAAATAATAATTAATTGGAACAATTAACAATGACGCTTCATGTTTTTAGATAGCAAAATTTGCTAGCTGTATATCAGCGAAAATATTTCTTTACGTTATCGACCTTGCATGTGTTAAAAATGTCACGAGTTGTTGATTTAGAGCCACACTAAAGGTCTTTCATAATAAAAAAAATATATAATTTAATCTTGCTTGTAACAAGCATTTTCATTGGCTTTAAAATTTACGTTATCAGCCCATAACGTAAAAAATGACGTCGCCGTTTGTAACGTCGCTTTTGATTGGCTGATACTGCAGCGCAATAATTTCTAAGAGGAAAGAGTCCATCAATAAAAGTGGATTTCCATAGGGATTGTGTATAGTAGATTAAATTATAAGGATTAACTTGAATATATTTTCCATGTTATGGAACTATAACACACAAAAAACGGAGTGTACTCTCATCATAAACCGCTTCGCGGTTTATTTATAGTACACTCCGTTTTTTGTGTTATATTTCCATAACATGAAAAATATATTCAAGTTAATCCTTAAATATTAAGTTTATATCAACTTTTGGTAGGAGCATGGATGGCCGTCAAAATTGGTGAGAAAATGGACCATCAACTGGGCCGGTTGTACACTAAGGGAGACTACTCTTCTGACCCTAGATAGTAAATTGTGTCATTCCGGTTCCTGTATTTCGTTTCTTCACAATAATTTCATGAATGTTGATAAAAAAAAAAGCATCCCAACCCCACTCCATGCCCTCATCGAAGATTCAATGGGATATCGTTTTAACGCATTACGGAAGTCTATCTGTCCGCCTGTGACTAAATATGGATAAATTCTAAGTGACAGTTAGCTCCCTTGCCACATCAATCGTAATCAACTCTAAAATCTTATAACATCAGCTGAACGTGTAACGTTTTGGAATATTTTAAATCGTTCAATACTTATTACAAAAAGCTAATATCCGATTTGTACAATATCGGTACATGTTTTTTGTTGCAGGGAGTCATTTCAAATTTTACTCAACCAAAAGAAGATGTATTGGTATCGTCACAGATTTTTGAGATCGATTGCTGGTTCAAAAACGGTAAAAGTTTTGTTGTCTTTTGTTCGGAACATTAACATAATTGGCAAAACAAATATCGGGTATTTTCTCTCTCTTTACATTGTTTTCAGTATAAACATGTATATATATATTTGGAATTTAAAAAAAAAAAGATTTTTAATGAAGCTTTGTAAAATATCTTACCTCAATGGAGTTATTTAAAAACAATAAAATAGTTAAATAATATTAATCAACATTGATTTGTTCGGTCCTCGTACAAACACCCACCTCGCTCGCTTTGGATCACTTTACCATAGATTTTATTTTCAACATTAAACTAATCAATAAAACAAGAAATGAATGACTGTACTGTGTTCACAGCAGGACATAATTTATACAAGTGGCCTTTATGTTAGTGACGTCATCGGATGTAAAGCACTTAACATTGAAGACTTATAATGAAATATAATTGATCGTAAAATAATACTTGAAAAACTCGTTGGAATGTAATTCCGATTAGCATACGCTTACGGCAGCCCATCAGGGCAGAGAACTCTTTGTATGACAAGCCTGTTTTAACATTTAAACTCCCAAGAAAGGTCACAAAGGGCGTTTCTATATGAAGTACAGATATAATTAAACGAAAAATACAAATCTTTAAATGCAAAAAAGATGTCTTTTCAACAAACAGAACTATTAAATGAATTAAAGATGTCTCAATTAATTTGGTAATAGATATATCTTTCAATGAAAAATAAACATCTTTTAAAAGAATAAAGACATCCAAGTTGAAAAGAAAGTGTACCTTTTCAAAGTGTGTGAAAATGATATTTAGTTCATTTCTAGATACATCTCTTACTTATAGCGATATATATTATCTCTCGTTACAGCAGATATTAGACATGTATTAATGTATATAAGATATGTCTTCCACATATTAAACGTTACGTTTGCTTGTTATAGTTTTGTGCTCCATCAGCTTCCCTTAAACTTGTGTTGACCTTTCTGACCTTGTTGATCTAATCAACGCACTAACACCTGACCATTCTAATATTAGCTGGCCCCAGTCCACCTGGACCAGATATAACGTCGGTTGGAAATAATTGTTGTAATGAAGTTTGATAGACATGTTTTATCTATGAGATGTATCAGGTTAAGACCGATAAAGAATTACGAATAGTCACCCATTGTTCACCATCATACCCTACGTTGACTGCCTCTAGCAGTACCTTAATTTATCTCTGGCCAATTAATGTACTATAGAACAACACATGTCCATTTACACGTGGTATTGGTGTTGCCAGTTATCGGTTCGAAAATCTATTGATCCTTCCATCCCCGACAATAATGATGAACTTTGGGGTGTGTGTGTGTGTGTGGGGGGGGGGGGGGGGGGGGGGGGNGACACGATCATTTGTATTGACCATAGAGCTAGAAGTCTTAAAAAATAGGAAATGCCCTTAAGTAAAGCTGGAAATCTGTGTTCGTCAGAATTTCATTTCATCCTGGTTTATTGATTATCATATCAGGGACTGGATCACACGGTCGTTTTTGTATTATGCGGTGTCCTTAAAGTTCCGTGTTTTATTGTTGTTGGTACATCGATTACCCAAGGACAGTTCGCCATTATTCTACATATACCTGGTAGATATAGATTTTACAGGTATGCAGGCCACTCAACAGCAATCAAGTCCTGGTACTAACAACCGTCTGCTCAGGTTTCTTCATTGAAATGTTAAAATATAATCAATAGAGGGCGCAACCGTACCGCCACGAGCACATGTAGAACATACGGCCAGCTGTCAAGAGGCTTAACTTAATCAATGTTCGGCTGATACTGTTTACCCATCTTCACCATCTGAAACTAGGACAGTGGAAATATTTTATAGTTGAGGTCATTTAGAGTCTTATAGTTTTACACAATGATTAACTTCTTTCATGAAATTAAAGACGAAAACACATAATTTCTTTAACAAATTATATTTTGGATTATGATTCATTTTGTCAGCAACAAAATAAGACATATTCTACATTTTTTTTAAAATCACGACTTAAAAGTACAAGGGACTACGAATTAAACTTTTGTGGATAAAATCTATTTGAGACCAAATATACAAGAAACGTTTACTATTGTTAGTTGCAATCTGATGGATACGTACAAAATTCGTTTTGTATCTAATTTAATCAACATTAATATTTCAATTCATAATAATAATTAGAATAAAGTACGGACAAAAATATCCGGAAGTTTATTTTTATATCAAAAATGTGAATGTATACTTATTTATTGATATATTTGTATGACGAATGCTGATACTTGATCGATTTTTTTGTTTCTTTTTGTAATATGATAAATTCATCATTAGCGAATGAAAGATGTACATGTACTGACAAGTGTGTTACACTATGAAATTAATATGTGAAAATATCAAAGTATGTACGTTATTTAAAGGCGATTCTAGACGTCCATGTACATTGTTTGTATATACACATATATGTTTATGTCATAGAGAAGATAGCCTTTAAAAATGTATGTGGTATAGAGTGTCTAGTTATACCTCTAACTATACTACAAATAATCACGATTACTCTACTCTGTCTCACTTCAGGATCTGCGAGTTATACCCTCAAATCAATCTCCAACATCTGTTGTAAAAAATAATGTTATCCATATCAAAAGTAATATGACTAGACCTTAACCTCATCGGCACTTTTAGTATTAATGATACATATCAGCTATTAGCTTTAGGCTATAAGTACCTCGAACTTGTATACCATGCTAATCATCATATTGACCTCTATTTTCTTAAGTCAACAACTCAACAGTCAAAGATTGAATCATACTAGTTCTCTCAAAGTATAGGTACCTCAACTATACCCGATTAATACTAGTCATAATTACCTACTAAGTTTATCCATTGTCACAAAAACCTATAAAAAAACCTCACTAGGCGGCAAACACCACTCTCGTGATACACAAAATACATCTTCCAAGCATCCCTCTCATACTCTCATACTCTTAGTTGCTTATACTATTTTACCTAATCCACCTACTCATTTCATCAACAAAAATGTGTAGTGACATTACAAATTGTTATAGTACTAGATATGTAAAAACCGCTGCCACCAAAATCTCTTATGTAACAGCCAAGTGGATGTGACCCAACCACAAATAGTGTAGCGTGGCTGGCTGCTACAAAAGAGTTGGGTATCAACCTATTATAGTATTAACTATCCATAAAGGACTAAAGACATGTCATCACCGAAAGTTCCAAGTAATGTCAAAAATAGTAAAAATGTCCTCAATCTCTTCTTCATAAGCTGCTTTCATTTCCAGGTACTGGTTCCAACATCAATAAAGGTTGTCAATACAAACTGACTTCAGCTGAATAAATCAGTTCCAATTGACTAGTTGGATACTGGTAAACAGGACTACTAAACTCCTTTTGAGTTGTCTGCCCTTAGACCATAGCTATGACCTTAGACCACTGGTAGAGTTAAATATTGTTTTGCTCTCTAGGTGACTTATCATT